GTCTCATAGTGGGGCCGGCCATGTGGTCTTCTCTGTGGATTGGCTGCTCTGAGTGGGAATATCGTCCTCAAGGCCTGGTGGGCCAGGACGGGCTCTTCACGTCACCATTTAAGTTTCCTAAATGCAACCAGACCCTCGGTGTCTCCCAAAAATAGAAGGAGAATTTCACTGGCATAGGTATCACAGGAAACATGCTCTTATCCATGGCAGTATGCTCCAGGTTTGCAGTATCACAGTCGGGCAATTCCATGTTTGTATAGACTTTGGAACACATATGATAGTCTAATTCCAGCACTGCTCACAGGACAAAGGACTCATAGCCTGGTGGCCAGAAGATTGTGCCACGGTAGTGGTCACCAAACATCCTCGTTTCCCAGTTTCCCTGGTGTTTCAGGCCATGTGATAGTGTTGACTAAGGACATATGAGTAGCAGTAAAAGGTGTCAAGGAGCCCTGCTTGTGTAGTGGTTACGTGCTGGGCTGCTAACCACAAGGTCAGCAGTTTGAAACCACCCGCTGCCCCACAGGGGAAAGATGAGGCTTTCTGCTACTCCTCTAAAGATTTCCAGTCTTGGAAGCCCACAGGGGCAGTTCTACCTTGTCCTTTAGGGCCATTGTGAGTCAGGATTGAGGATGGCAGTGAGTTCGATTGGATGAAATGTATCACTTAGGTATGAGGAATTTAACGTGCGGTGTGCCCCCTTCCATCGCTCTCTTCCCTGCCCTGTTGACTTTGGTGGCCATCAGTCACATGTGGGGCAGCGGCTAGACAGAAGCAGCTCAATCCCTGACATAACACACTCACTGAGGGAAGCTCAGAGACCAGCATCCCCAGCCTGAATTAGACTTGAGTGAGCAGCAAGCCTTTGTTATGCAAAGCCACTGAGATTCCAGGGCTTAGGCAAGCAGTGCAAATCATCTGAATCCAAGCGTGCAAGTTGGAAGGTAGAAGTACCCTTTAATAGCCAATGTTCTTTATCCCAGTGCATGCACGTCAATCTTCTGACCTCTCTTAGACCATCTCTGCGTCTCTTCTCGCTGAAGTGTCTTGGAAGCAGCCAAGTATTGATCGTGTGCTACATGCTGGGCACAGAACGATTAATCCTCCGACCTGATTCCGTTCAACTTCCCTCTCGTCACAACTCTGTGAGGCATCTAGTCTCAAGCTCCTGCTCTACAAATGCGGACATGTGGGTTTCGAGAGTCTAGGCACTTTGCCTAAACCACACAGTCAGTGGCAGAGCAGAATTCAAACCCAGGTGGATCTGACTTTTCCTACAAACCCTACAGCCTCACTTGCTACACTTCCTTATGCCTCAACACCTCTTATCTGACTTTCATAGGATCCCTTCCACCACCCTTAAACCCCTCCCCTGAAATGATGCTCGCTAAAGTGACTAATTACTCCCCACTTGCCAAGTTCAAGGAATACCATTTTGCTTCTTATTTGACTTTGCCATATTGACCCTGTTGACCAATTCTTTCATCTTGAAACTCTTCCATCTCGTGCCTCCTTGTTTTTTTCACCTGAATCCGTCTCCCAGGTCTTCTTCTACTTCCTTAGAAGGGTTTCCACACTTCTCCTGCCTCTTTTCTCATGTCAGACCTTTTGCCTACATTAGCTCATCCACTTGGCTATTTTAAGACCATGGTGTAGACCACCTTATCTATACCTTCCGCCAAGAGTCATCACCTTCAAACCACTAGGACCTGAACTCCTGGAGCCTCCTTTCAACTGGCGGGTGCTACCACTCATCCTCAGAGAAAACAGAGAGCTGGGAGTCATCCTAGGATCCTCTCGTATTCACTCCACGACTCCAACAGCCAACCAGCCATTGCTTCTCACCAAGCCTCCCACTGAGAGAGCTCATGTCCTCTGTCCTTCCTCTCTACGCCTCTGCTAACAGCCCCAGTCAGGCCTTTGCCATGCCACGCCCAACCCACTGCAATAGGCCCCTAACTGCTCTCCCAGCTTACAGCCCCAGCTGTCTCCAACCCATTTTAAAATATATATCCATGAGCGACATCTACACAAGACTCAAATCTGACCACGTTTACCTCCTGTTTTGAGCTACTGCCTCTCCCACAGGATACACGCTCAGCTCATGAAAGAGCTCCTCTGACCTGCCCACCACCAGCTTCCTCGCCTGCAGGTGCCACCGCTGCTCGCTCTCGCTCTCTCTCTCTCTCCTGAATTTCTTTCAGCCTTACACTTCATGGTTCAGCAGGGGCAATGTGTTTTCACCACTTTTATTCCTTAGCCTGCAGCACCTACTCCCTGTTCTCATCCGTGTAGAAACTCTTCTCCCACTCCTTGAAACTCTGCAAGTGTGCCTCCTTTGTCAGCTGTCCCTGACCTGAAAGGTGGCCCGAGCATGGCAAGACCCACCAGACGAATGTTGGTTCTTTCTCCTACTGATAACCCTGACTGTGCGTACGGGCTGCCCTCTCATGGACCATTGGTCTGAGAAGGGCATGACTTAGAAGGTGCTTTGCTGGAGTGAGGGGAGAGAGATGAAGCCCGTGCATTCCAAGTCTGAGACACGAGGATGGGATGATTTTGTAGTTTGTGTACATGTCCTCTTTTAATCAGATGGACAGATACCCTAGGACTCTGTAGAAGCCCTGGTGGTGTAGTGGTTACTCATTGGGCTGCTAGCTGTGAGGTCAGCAGTTCAAAACCACCAGCCGCTCCACAGGAGAAAGAGGAGGCTTTCTACTCCCATAAAGAGTTACAGTCTTGGAAACCCTCAGGGGCCATTCTCCTCTGTCCTACAGGGTCGTTATGAGTCAGAGTGGGCTCGATGGCAGGGAGTTTGTTGGTTGTTGGTTAGGCCTCTGTAGCAATGCCCAGACTGGTCACTCCACATTTAGAAGACACGTGTCCTGAGATTAGGATTCCCTTAGGGGAGAGAGGCTGCCGGACCTGCGTGAATTTTACCCGTTTATTGGTGAGATGCAGGGAACAGGGAAGTAAGAATGGCACAAAGACAAGCACTCACAGGCTTTAGAGCAAACTCCCTTCACTTATAGGACCAGTCTCAGAGAGCACTCTGGCTATCTAGCTTGTAGTGGCTGAGTGAGATACGCCCTAGAAGCAAGTAAGTTCACTTGAGCTGGTGTTCTTCTACCCAGAAGTCCAGGCTGGAGGCAGTGCCCAAACAGCTTGCCAGGGAATGTCAGGTCCACATGGAACACCCACGGCAGCCGGCAGAGTGGACGGGGGTTACTCCTGAGAGACACAGCTGTCCTCCCCAAGGGGGCATTCAAGTCCTGGAAGGCACCAAGTCGTTATCTTGGGCAACCCTTCCAGAAGGGGGGGATAGAGTTCAGGGACCCTTTGTGGGGGTGTAGAGGACTCCTGCCCTAGAATCCTGTCGTTACATGAAGAAAGACTGAGACACAGAGGGTGAGGGAAGAGGCCGTGTGGGTGGCAAAGGAAAGCAAGAAGGTATACACAGGAGAGGCATTTCCTGGAGAAGGGGTTCCGAGGTGAACAACTGGAAATTTCACTTTATCTCAGGGTTTTCTTTGTGGGTGAGCTCAGTGCTGATGTCTTCCCCAGAGCGTCCTTGAATTCGCTCGCGCTTCCCAGCCTCATCCTGCTTTCTCCGTGGGGGCTACAGTTCCCACTTCCAGTGACACAGCCCCCAGAGAGCATGCTGTAGCCCCCGCCAACAGAACTGTGTCGGTAGCCATAGGTGCCGGTGCTGCTGAACCCAAAGTTGGCCCCCGCGCCTGTGGTCCCGGCCGTGGAGCTGCTGATGACGGCTGCGGGGGAGGAGGGAGCAGTGATCAGTGGGTGGTCCTAAGAGAGGGGTTGCCCTTAGCCTTCTAGATCCAACCACCTTCAGTGTCAAGCTCTCAAATAAACGTGTCTCTATCATTCACGAACTTGGTGTTTCGTGGTACATGCTCAATCCCTTAGCAGCTTGAGCACAGGGCAGGCTAGCCTAGATCCCCCAGGCCACCCAGAACGGGCGCCTTCTCATTCACTGAACCAACAGGAGTGGTATGGGTGACAGATAAGTCTCCTGAGCCTCAAACCTCAGATAAGCTACCAAGCTCCTGCATTTAGGTGGGGAATACATTCATAACTCCTTCCCAAGAATTTCCTTCTTGCCGGACGGCTCATCTCCCACAGGAAGAGCAGGCTGGACCCCAAGGAGGCCCTTAAAAAGAATGACGAGGATCGGTCCACCCCAACAGTATCTGCAAAGGGGTCTCCACTCTCACTCACGCTCAGTTTCCCTTCACGCAGGACAGCCCAGGCTGGGGGCCCGGTGGGAGGGCGAGGCCTGAGTTTCGTGAGAGGGCACAAGTCCGATCAATGGCTGGGGAAGGGGCTCGTGTGAAACGTCAGCAATTAGATGGGGAGCTGACTCCGCCGGGAGGCAGCAGAGTGCTAGCAGCCTATTCCGTGGGGACCCCGGTGGTAGGCACCCCCTCACTTGGGGTTCATTGACAGCCTAGACATCGTCCTTCAGAGGGATCAAGTACTCACAAATGCTCACAGCGTTGGTGTACTCTCCGGACATCCTGCAGAGAGAACGACAAAAGGGAATCTCTGTCACCTGCAATCCCAGAGTTGGCTCAGCGCAGCCGGGACCCTGGCCCGTACTTCATGTCTCCACGGGATCCTCCAGGGGGCCAGGGGGCATTCACTGCACCCTTGCAGCGCTTCTCCCAAGGAGCCCAGTAACACAGTGCTTAAGCCCTTGGCTGCTCCTGAAAGGTTAGTGGTTTGAGCCCACCAGCCACCCTGTGGGAGGAAGATGTGGCTGCCTACTTCCATAAATAACAACCTTGAAAGTCTTGTGAGGTCGTTCTTGTCTGTCCTACAGGCTCCTAGCTGAGTCCAAAGCGACTAGATGGCAATGCGTTAAGTTTGTTGTTATTGCTGTGTGTGTTTTACATTTTGTTTAGGTTGGTTGGTTGGTTGGTTAGGTTTTTTCCTTTTCTTTCCTTTTCTAAAATCTCTAATCCATTGGACTGCTAACTGGTAAGGTTGGAGGGTCAAGCCCACCAGCTGCTCCATCGGAGAAAGATGAGCCTGTTGGCGCCTGTAAAGATTGACAATTTCAGACTTTATATGAACATTTACAATCCCGGAAATCTTAAGGAGCAGTGCTTCTCTGTCCTAAAACAACCACTGTCCGTCTGAATCAACGCCGTGGCAGGGATGTGGTTTTGTTTAGGAATCACCTCCGACCTTTCTCACTTCAGAGATAGGTAAGCCCACAACCTTGGGGCTTCAACTCCACCACCACCACCTCTCCCCTGACCCTTGCTGTTGGCTTTCTCTTGAACCCACTTCTTTATTCTTGTGAGACTTCTGCCTGAATAAATCCATGTGGAAATATGTGTAGAAATATTAGGGTAGGAGCTGCCATTAATGAACTAAACATATAACTTTAGGGCCACTAAATTTTTTTTTATAGCTTGACAGGCCTCTGTAGGTCATCGTTCTAAACCGACCCCAAGAATTCTCAGCTATCAATGCTTCATGTACCACCTCCCTTGGCTGCTGACTACCCTGTATAACCCAAACTGTTCTATGGGCATATTTAGTATTTGTAATGGACTTCATTGTAAACAGAAAGCTTACATCACTAGGGTCAATGGGAAACCAGAACTGTCCCCCCAAAAGGTAGCTGTCAAAATAAATACGATGTAAACAAAAACCAAATCATTTAAAACCTTTAGCTAGATAGGGTGGTCTGCCCAGAGACTCGGAACCTGCACTAGATCAAGTCTCTGTTGACTCCAAGGTGGGATCTGCAAGTGTCATCCAGGTGATAGAGATCCACAAGCATCGAGCTGAGACTTGGCCCCTAACCTCAGGTGAAGAGTTGAGAGAAAAATGGGGAGGCAATGGCCGTCTCCTTCTGTGGTCGGATGCTGTTCACGGCTCTGAGTGTAGGGACGGACAGAAAGAATGCCTTTTGCCCCTCCAGCAACTCAGCCCCCTTCCTCCCCCCACGCTGGGAAACTCGGAACCATGGGATTCCCCATCATCCTCTGGCTCTAGGGTCCTAACACTCTCCCACCACCCACCTGCACTCCTCGCCCTCCAGCAGCTTGCGGTAGGTGGCGATCTCAATGTCCAGGGCCAGCTTCACGCTGGTCAGCTCCTGGTACTCTCTTAGCATCCGGGCCAGCTCCTCCTTGGCCTGCTGCAGGGCGGCCTCCAGCTCCTCCAGCTTGGCCCGCGCGTCCTTCAGGGCGCAGTCCCCCCGCTGCTCGGCATCGGCGATGGCCGTCTCCAGGTTGGAGCACTGAGGGGCACGAGATAGCGTTCCCCATGAGTCCTACGGTACCTGAAGCTTCCCTTTGCCTCCCCTGCCCAATAGGCTTATGTGGATGGACCCTCCTCTGCCCTGCCCCACTTCCTAGAGGAGAGGCCCAGCCACATCAACACCGTGGGTGCTAATAACTTGGGAGCATGGGCTTGTTATTCTGAGTCCCATGGCTTCCCAATGGTCCAGTCTTTGGATGGGAGTTAGGTATGGGGGGGCGGGGCTCCATTAGAAGGGGCATTCTGCGATGGAAGACCAGGAACAGGAGAAGTGGCTATAGGAAACGTGCTAGACAGGTCGCCTCACCTTCGGAAAGGACCTGGGAGCCCCCCACCACGGTCACCTGCTTCTTCACGCTCTCGATCTCTGAACGCAGCCTTTGGATGACACGAGTCAGCTCTGCGATCTCGTTCTTGGTGTGCTTGAGGTCGTCCCCATGCCTCCCGGCAGCCAGCTGGAGCTCCTGGAACTAGAGCAGAGGGACCAGAGCAGGGGTGTTGCTCGCCTCAGAGGGAGGGGCCTGGCTGAGGCTGGGCCTTTGCCGAGGGAGCCGGGCAGAAGTGGCCAGGGGTCCTCTCCTTCCCCAGCCATCTTCCCTGTTGTCTGTTCATTGAATTTGGTTGCCTTGAGCACGACTGACAGCTGTAGATTTCCACCTAGAACTTTCCACACCGCAACCCCAGCTAGTAGGACATGCCTCTGTTCATAGCACTTCAAAGCTTGCCCTTGTCTTCAACGTCAAGTTCAACCTCCAGGAGCGCGCCATCAAGATGCTCAGAGGCTGTGTCCACCAGCCTTTCCAACTCTGTTCTCCATCAGGCCTGTGCGTCTCCTACCTGGATCTCTAGCTTTGTCACATAATTCCACAGTTCTAAAAATGTTCTCTGTGTTCTAATGTCTTTGAGTGGTTCCATGAGCTTCTCCAAACACCTGGAAAACTCTTCCCCACCTCTGGTCTGTTCCCTTCATTCCTTCATTCACTGCCATGGGGTCAGTTCTGATCACAGCAACCCTGTGGGTGTATGAGACTCCAACGATTGAGCCGGCTCCAATGCCACTGTGCAGAGCTACTTCCTCCAGGGGCCCTTCCCTGTTGACCTTGTAAGATCTGTTTCTATGCCTTTCTCATGAGACTGCATAACCGGAACTATTTTGTTTATTTCTGAATTCCCAGTGCTAATACAGTGTCTGGATGGTGCTCAGAAAAAAGTCTGATGTCAGAATGAATGAATGAGGCAGAATCGGCGAGCTAGTCCGGTGTGTTTTCTGTGATTTCCCTGACTCCCCAGCTAGCTGAGCCCCAAGTTAAAAGCCGTCTTCCTGGGAAGGAAAGTGGGCTTAGAATGGAGAGGGAGGGTGTGTGTGTGTATGTGTGTGTGTGTGTGTGTGTGTGTGTGTGTGTGTGTGTATTTGACTAGATAAATGTATAGGACTAGCCATACATTTGGGGTAATCTACTAGTTTTGCATTATTTCTGCTTTTGATGCCACCTGTTGAAGACTTCAATCCCACCCTAGAATTTGGCTTCAGGGAAAAGCAAAAGGCACGAGGCATCCAGGACCATATTGGCTGTGCACTGCCTTGTCTCTGTCCCCAGTGCTCGGCCTCACTGCAAGGGTGTCCTAGCAGGCTCCAGCAAGACCTACATTCAGGATTCCCCTGAGAGATGAGAGAGGCTTCTCTCTCTCCTCCTCCGGAATTCTCTTTGGTACCAGCCTTGGAACAAGAGCCCCCAACAGGACTGTGGGCAGCATGGCCCTTCCCACACACTGTCTGGGATGGAATTGCTAACTCCTCTAATTTTCACACCGCCTCTTGCCATTTGCATATTGAGCCACCTAATGCCCTGAACATATGGGCCCCTTAATCAAAAGCCTTTTCTGATGTCCTGTCTACACACCACGGAATTTGTGGCCAGATCAACTTCACCGCTGACCAGCTAACTGCCATTGGCACATTCCTTAACCTCCTTCCTCTGGTGGCGTAGTGCTTATGAGCGGGGCTGCTAAGCCGGTGGTCAGGAGTTTGAAACCCCCAGACACTCTGAGGGAGAAAGATGGGGCTTTCTGCTCCCATAAAGAGTTACAGTCGTGGAAATCCACAGGGGCCATTCTACCCGGTCCGATAGGGTCACTGTGAGTTGGCATCAACCTGATGACATTAAATTTGGTTGTTTGTTTGAATCGCCCTGAGCCTTTAAAATGAAAATAATCATAATGAGCCCTCACAATATTGCTAGGAATAAACTTCTGTTCGGTAAGAATGTATCCCCATGCTGAGAAGTGGAGGCATGGATACCAACCAGAAACCGTGTCTGTGGAAACCTGCCTAACTCTTCTAAAAGCACCACAGCTTGGCGCTAAGCACTGGCCACAGGAGCAGCCAGCCCGCATGCTCCCCCGTCCTGTGGTGTGCACGGTCGGTCGCATGGCTACCTCGCAGGACTAGGGACTTGAGTTGGAGCCCGGATCAAGAAGTCCTGATCTGTGTTGCCTCCTCAGCCTCTCATCTGTGAACGCTGCCGGATCTCTCTGTCTCCGGGGCAGTGAGCAAGCAGGAGGAGGGGCAAGATAAGGTCTCTCAAGAGCCCGGCTTTCCCTTGAGAAAGAACCTGCTGAACAGCAAGGGACCATTGGGAAGTGCCATCTCGATCTGAGAAATCAAATTATCTGAAGCATCGCTTCCCACCCACACCCCATTAGAGGAATTAAGGTCTAAATGACTCAAACTCCCCCTTCATCCCCCGAGTTGGACTTGAATGGAAATCTGGGAGTCGCCTGATCCCAGATCACACTGGAGGAGACCCCGTAATTTACTGTAATTCATGAAGAAGCTGGGATGCTAATGCCTCACGTAGCTTCCTGCCCTCCCAGAGTCTGTGGAAAAGCCTCTGTCTTCAGGAAGATGTTCCTGAGCTGCCCCACCTGATCCTGGCTCCCTAATCCCTGTCCTCCCTAACGTTCACCAGCTCGGTTCCCACCACTCCTGGTGCTTGACGGTACATATTCTCCAAGAGCTTCCATCCGGACCGGGCTTCCCGCAGTGCCCAGGTCAGTGCTGTGCTGGCAACAAGGGCGGGCCCTGGTGGCCACAGGGCTGACAACCCAAGCAAGCCCTCGACCTGAAGTCCTGGACAGAGGACTCTGGGACGGTGCAGCCTCACCTTAGTCTGGTACAGGGCCTCGGCCTCGGCCTTGCTCCTCAGGGCGATGTCCTCGTACTGGCTGCGCACCTCGGCGATGATGCTGTCCAGGTTCAGGCTGCGGTTGTTGTCCATGGACAGGATGACGGACGTGTCGCTGATGTGGGACTGGAGCTGGGCAATCTCCTGCAGGAGAGAAGCAAGGACGCAGGAGTGGTTGTTTGGGGCTAGAGGAAGATGCCGTCCTGAGGGTCTTATCCATAAGTCACCCCAAACAGATGAAAGCTACATTCCCCCAAGTTTGCAAAAAACGGTGCTCGCCGGCCCAGAGGTTCAATATCACCTCTAAAAATGGCTCAACAGGCTTGCGATGGCACAAGAAGAAAACAGCTCATCTCTCAATAACTTGAGACAGGTCCAAAGTAGAGGAGGTGGAAGGGAAGCCATTTAGAAACCATTTGCCACTGATCGGAGCCATTGAGATAGACAGGGTCTCGAATTCCTTGCCTGCATCTCTGGAAATTCTGGCCCAAGGACCCAGGAAACATCCCAACAGTAGAGAGAAGACAGGTTAGAATAAGAATCTCCTTGGCTGACCATCAGGGGGAACCTTTTTTCAAACCCAAGACATTGGAGGCTGGGCCAAGATTAATGGGCATTTGGGGGCCCCAAGATAGACTTTAGACTCTTGTAGAACTACAAAGCTCTTGGCATCCAAGGGCTGACCATGCCCTGGGGTCTCAAAGGTGTAGTAACTCTTCATTCACAGGCGGTGCTTCCAGAAGACAGAGGGAAGTGGGGCCAGGAAGTCTTACCGCTTCATAGAGGCACTTGAAGAACTTGATTTCTCCATCCAGGGTGTCCACCTTGGCTTGCAGCTCCACTTTGTTCATGTAAGCAGCATCCACGTCCTGAAGAGAGTGCCCAGTCCCTCGGCTAGCACCTGGACTCAAGTCCAGGCATCCCTCTCCCACCAACGTATGCCTCAGCCCCCTACCCTGTGGCTAATTGCCCTGCCGAATTGAATTAAAACTAGAGAGCAGGAACCTGACTCTGGCACAGGACTCCCCGTGAAAACTTAGACCAGTTCATCATGACCCTGCAATGCTCTTTGCCCCAATTAAACAGGATCCCTTTTACTGCCTTCTAAGAGAGCCCTGGGGGTGGGGGATAGTGGGTATGCGTTGGGCTGTGATTCGCGTGGTTGGCAGTTCGAAACCACCAGCAGCTCCACAGCAGGAAGGCTAGGCTTTCTACTCCCGTGAACCATTGCAGTCACAGAAAAACGCACATTGACTCGGTGGCAAGGAGACTGGAGTTTGATTTCTCTGAGTGAGAGAGAGAGGGAGTGGCACCCTTCTGTCCGCAGAGTAAGCCAAGGGCAACCATGACACTTCACCAGGAAAGCAGAGATGGAAGATGAATCTCAGCACCACCCAGACCATGCCCCGCTCCCCCAGCCAGAACTGGGAAGGAGCCCTGCAGCCCGGACTCATCCCCATCCCCCCCCTCACACACACACACACACAAACTAGGGTGCTGACAAAGAGGGACAGCAGACAAACATGAAGGTTTCTCGACATGTCTAGGGCAACCCATCCCTCCATCTTCTCCTGCCAGGCCCTTCTCCAGGGGAAACCGACCTCAGTCTCTCCCCCGGAGGCCCCCTCTACTTGCCCTCCATGTGACACTCCCTGGCTGCGCCCACCCCCTGCTCACCTTCTTGAGCACCACAAATTCATTCTCAGCCGTCGCACGCTTGTTTATTTCCTCCTCGTACCTGCAGAAAAAACGGAACCGTAAGCAGGAAGCGTGGGTCTGCTCATGGTGAAACGGAACAAGAGAAGACCCTCCCAGTCCACATCTTTCACGCTTCCCATGCACATGTAGCCTGCACCTTTGTACGTTTGACCCAACTCACCAAGCCTGTCCGGGAGGTGGACCGGTGACCAAATGGTTTGGGATATGGAGAGTCGGCAGATTCTCCCTCCTCTCCCTCAAGATCCAAATCGCAGCCATGTTTTCGTGTCACACCACGGTTGGACCCCCTTACCCACCTCCACCCTGTCCCTAGACATAAGTCCCAAGAAATGCCCAGCAAAGACCGAAGGGGGGCACCGAGGGGGCACATTGAGCAAGGTAAGGAACTGAGAGAGGATTAGGGTACACACAGCTAGGCTCTCTTCAGTGGGAAAGGGGAAGAGGAATACCGAGGAGGGGCATGCCTGCCAGAACCACACAACCATTGCCCGAGAGGACGTCTCTGTGTCTGTCCATTGTGTGCAACCGCGCACCCCACCCCCAGCCACTTAGACAAGGCACCCATCTCTCCTGGGCAGAGGAGCTCAGGATGGGTGGCTCTCATCTGACCTCAGCCCCGTGAGGCCAGAGGCAAAACGCCTCTGTGTCGTCCGGGAAAGCAGGGCCCCAGGAGATGGCTGCGCTCTGTCCCTCTCTCTGCTCACCTCTTCTTGTTGTCCTCCACCACGTCGCGCATGCTCCTCAGCTCCGAGTCCAGCCGCACCCTGTCCCCCGACAGCGCCTCCAGCTGCTTCCGCAGGTTGCCGACAAAGCCCTCCAGGATGGGCTCCAGGTTGTTCCTGCAGTTGTTCAGGTCCAGCTGCTGCAGCAGCTCCCACTTGGTCTCCAGCACCTGGTTCTGCTGCTCCAGGAACCGCACCTGGAACCCAACCCAGCAGACACCTGGCACCAACTCCACAGACTCTGGGGAAGTGGGGAGAAGAGCTGTGGGGTTGCTTTTTTTTCTTTCTGGGGAGCTGTTGTCTTTTGTTATGCTACACTGGTTTGGAATTGGAAAGCCTCAGTTCTTAAAAAGAATCAGCTCCTCACACCCTCCCCATCTGGGACCTTTTTCACCTGGAGCTCTGAGTCTATTTCTCCTTTTGAGAGCAGCCTCTCAGGTCAGGAGAGACCCCGGCATCTTTGTCTCCCTCCATGATCTAGTTAAGATCTGCTACCCTTGTACTTATTGGTACCTGCCTGGGCCAATTTCTATGTTCAGCCCGGGCGGATTTCTAAGTAAGGCAAGTCTTTAGGCATGTGCAGCTGGCCTGGACTTGAGACATGTGCTTACCCCCCGCACCCCATTGGGTCCCTCTGCTTGGGTCTGGTCATGCAGTCTTTGCTCTGGCAATGCTCTGTCCCCTTAGTCCTGGCCTCTCCCAGCCTAGGTGTTGGGGATTCTCAAGTCCCACCCCCTCCCACCCCGCTTACTTGCATGTCTGAATCAAGGGAGTGAATCAAGATGTTTCCTTGGAGTAAACCAAACCTTCTCTAGTTGCATTCTACAACTGCCATACGATGTCCTCGCTGGAAACCTCCGGTGACTCCCACCATCCACCCTCTCTAAGATCAAGGCCCAAGTCCTCACCTTACTCTTCCAGTGTGCCCAGCTCCCCCACTCACCCGGCCTGGGGCAACCCGCCAAGCCACCTGTCTGTTCTCCAGCAAGTCCCACAGTGCCGCACGATGGCTTGCTGCGGACGTCTTCTTCCCGCATCGCCTTGCCCCGAGTCTGTCTGGCAAACTCCCACGAATGCTGCGCCGCCCCACCTGTCACCTGATAAGCTTTCCCTGCTCCCCTAAACTCAAGACGTCTCCACTTCCCAAGACCCTCCTGCCGCGGGGTTCCTCAGCGGTCCTGAAACTTGAGTCGTGGAACTGGCCACCAGCTGCCTTGCCTCCTGGGTTTATTACAGGCTACCAGTCTTCTCCTGATTGGAGTGTGTTTCCTAGGGCAGGGGCAGACTCCATGCCTCTCTAGACATCCTAGGCTTGACAACCTCGACAACAGGGCCTTCTTTTGCTGGCACCTATGTTTACCAGGTGGGCACCGTGTGGCTTCTCAACTCAAGGCCACTAGCCCTGCCTCCTGAAAACTGTCCCGGACTGGGCTTTCTAGTTCCTCTCTAGTTTCTCGTTCCCTGTGCCCCTGGCCTGGTGTCCAGGGCTTTGTCCAGCTCCCCCTGCTCGATCTTTGGCTGTGCCTGCATCCTGGGCAGGTGTGCTGCCTGCCTTTGCTTCAGAGGGGAGGAAGAATAAAGAAGAGAAGAGGCCCGATGCCCAGCTTTTCTCCAGAAAGGCCCACCTTGTCGATGAAGGAGGCAAACTTGTTGTTGAGGACCTTGATCTGCTCCCGCTCCTGAGCACGCACTTTCTGGATCTCAGGGTCCAGCTCTACGTTGAGGGGGGCCAAGAGGCTCTTGTTGATGGTGACTTGGTGGATGCCCCCTGGAGAACCTACAGTTGGGCACACGGGCCCCAGGGCCACACTGCCAAACATGCTTCCCGCAAAGCCACTGGCCCGGCCCTGGCCAAACCCATAGCCACCTAGTCGCCCACTGCCGCTGGCCATGTTGAAAGAGATGTTCCGGGTGGTCCCCAGGTTGTAGAGGCTCCGGCTGCCAAATCCGCCCCCACTAAGCCCTTTGCCCCCAATCCAGTAGGATGACTTGCCCCCAGAGAGCACTGCTGAGCAGCCACTGAAGCCCCCCTTGGCCACAGTTCCAGATTTGCAAGAGAATTGGCGGCTCATGTTTGAATGGCCAGAGAGCTGGGAAGAGATGCTAACCCTTAGCCGAGAGGACGATCATCACTCTACAGTCTCAGTCGACTCCTATATAAGGCTCGGGAGAGAGTCACAGCCTTAATTTGTGGGTTCAGTTTGCCTGGGAGCGAGAAATTATTTCCCCCCAGCAAAACCCAAACAAGACACGAGGGGAATAGCTTGAAAACCCCCAAAGTGCTGGGCTTGCAAACCTAGTTCGTGTAATTTGGATCGTATCTCGTTGTTCACTGTTCATGGGGTAATTAGCCTTGTCAAATTATCCTTAGAAAGATCTTGGCTGGGAGGCTTGTCACAACTTCAATTGCCCTTCCTCAGGAGTGGTAGGGGCTGGGCCTGCGGGGGTGCAGAGCAGAGACCTTTAATTGGTGGCGTCATCGGGGAGAGATCTCACAACAAGGCTACCATCGGATGGGCTGCTGCAGAGACCCAAGCCGTCCTGATTTTACATCCTTAGGGAGACGTTCCCATGGCTATGCTTCCCAGAAATCCTGGAGACACTTCTCAGACCGGACCTAAGCCACAGGAGATGGGTCCATGAGAAATCCAGACCCATTCCAGGAACCTGCCTCTCTCTGGCTGCCAGCACTATGCTGGCCCTCCGGGGCAAGTCCCCTGTTTCTCTGTGCTGCCCTGATCACCTTCCCCTGCTCAGATGGACTTATTGGTTCCTATGCCTTTCCTCTGCCCCCACCCTTGACCTTGACAGAATGGTGATTGTAACCATTCATAATGACTGATATTGGGGCAGCTCTTTAGAACACTGAAGAGCTTCTTGCACACAGAAGTTTATGTAACCCACTTCCTACATCTGGGGAGGAACCATGTTGATCCAGCAGATAGTGGATGCGGTCACGTAGTCTGCACACATTTCATGTTAATCCCAGAGGGTGCACATGTCCAACAAAACCCAGACCCTAGCTTTGAAGACTCTCTTGGTCTTCGGGTCTCCTATTCAGTACTACTCAGATCTTTGGGACCTGGTTTACCTATTTATCCATCCATCTATCCATTCATCCACCCATCCACCCTTCCATCCAGTTATTCATCTGTTCATTCACTCATCCATTTGTTGTTTTTTAAAAATTGTGTTAAGGATTGACTTTGTCCCGGATGGCATCTTGGATTTGAGATGATAAATAAAATAAAACTCTAGCTGGCAGTTCTAGGGTTGGGGACAGGAGGAGAGGGAAGACCGACACTGAATTCATCAGACCATAGATATTGCCAAAAGATGTGTCCCAAGAGTCTCAGCACTCCCCAATTCCAAGGATCACCAGTGTACATTATTCTCTCAACCACTCATCTGTTAGCTTGTCCCTGTGGGCTCTCGCGTATAGCTACGAAACTGGAAGTGACGCCACTGGTCTTTCAGGCACCAGCAGGGTCACCCGTGGCGAACAAGTTCCAGTGGAACTTTGAGACCAAGGCACGTCAGAGAGACAGGAAGATCTGGTGATCGGACATCATCTGATCCAGTGCCAGAGAGGGGCACCTCAGGTTGGAAGGCTCTCAAACTACGGCTGGGGAAGAGCTGCCTTCTCAAAGCAGAGTGGATCTCGATGATGCCGAGGCAAGAAAGCTTGCCATGCTTTCATTTCCTGCTGTGACACGAATCGAAAGGTGTTGTTCACAATGCAGTTCACAATTGCACGCGTTCATTCATCATCGGGTCATGGAATGCACAAATTATGAATCTAGAAATATTGAAAGTGGTCCCGAATGAAAGGTAACCCTTGAAAATCCTTGTTGTCATAGGTGCCACCAGTGTGTTCTGACTCATAAGCCATGTTTATGAGCAAACAGAGCACAACCCTGCCTGGTCTGGCACCATCCTCACAGTGGTTGTTGTCTGAACCCATTGTTGCAGCCACCTTGTCAATCCATCTTGTTGTGGGTCTACTCTTTCTCATTGGCCCTTTACTTTAATGAGCATAATGTCCTGTCCAGGGATTAGTCTCTGCCAATGAACATTCAAAGTACATGAAACAAAATCTCGCCATTCTCATTTCTTTTTTTTTAATCTTAAAAGTATTCATTTTAATAAGCTAAAATACAAAATCTAACCATTTTTAGTTCAGGTTAGATGTGTCTACAATGATTTCATTTTTCTTTAAGTAATAATTTACTACAACATTTTAAGGTTTGAAAAATGTAAAGGTAAGCACTAATCCTATTTTTAAGTATAGTTAAATGCTCATCTATTTCCCTCCCTAAAGTCTCTTGATTATCAAAAAGCAGATAGGTAGGTATAAAAGATAGCTTATGCTGCTAGTCTGATTTCTTTTTTTTTTTTTAACCTTAACTTTTTACTTTTGGGTTTTTCCATTCTCATTTCTAAGGAGCATGTTGGCTCTGCTTCTTCTGGCACAGATTTGTTTGTTCTTCCGGCAGGTCATGGCACTTCCGGGACTCTGTGCCAACATCATCATTCAAAGGCATCGGTTTTTCTCTGGTCTTCCTTACTTATTGTCTAATTGCCTAGCTTTCACATCCCTATGAGGCAACTTAAAGCACCATAGGTGAGGGCAGTTGCAATTTAGTCCTCCCAGTGACAGCTTCGCTCTCCAACACTTTAAGAGAGCTTCTGCAGAAGATGTTCCCAATGCAGTATGTCAGGCTGCGGCTTCCACCAGCGTGGGGCGTGGGTCCACGCAAAATGAAATCCTTGATGGCTTCCACCTCATTCTTTATTCATTTACTGATCCAGTTGTGAGGATTTTAATTTTCTTTATATTGGGTGGTAATCCAAGCAGAAGTCTTTGATATTCGTCAGCAAATGCCCACCTTTCAGCAAGCACTGCAGAGCCATCTGCAGAGTTCTTGAAAGGACCTCCTTTAACCCTGATGCTGCCTTGTTCATCACATAGCCAAGCTTCTTGAATCATCTGCTCAGCATACATGTTGAACAAGTATGGTGAAAGGATACTGTGATGGCTTGTGGCTTTTGTGATTTTAAAGTCACATCACATCTTCTTGTGCTGCTCAAATAATTGCCTCTAGGTCTTATGGACAGATTCTACATGAGCACAATGAAGTGTTCTGGAATTCCCATTCTTTGCAATGTTATCCATAGTGTGCTGTGACCCAGGTGGTTGAATACCTTTGTCTAGTCAAAACAACATAAGTAAACATCCTTCTGGTATTTCTACTTCCAGCCAAGGTTCATCTAACATCAGCAAGGATACCCCTCATTCCATAGTCTCTTCTGAACCTAGCTTGGCTTTCTGGTAGCTTCCTGTTGATGTACTACTGCAACCATTTTCCAATTATCTTCCTTGCACATCCGATTAATGAGCTTATTCAGTAATTTCTGCATTCTGTTGGGTCACTTTTCTTCAGAATGAGCACAATTATGACTCTATTCCATCTGATCGGCCTGGTATTGAAATGTACTGCTATTGGGCAATTTACAATGAACAATCTGTGTTCTATGAGCTGAAAATGAGGTTGAAGGAGAACAGTGTTGTATTCGTTGTCAACAAGAGCATTTCAAGGTCTACCCTAATTACAAAGCTGCCAGCAATAAGATAATATCCACATACTTCAAAGGAGTGCCAGTTAATACGAGGAATATTATTCAAATGTATGTGCCAACCACTAATGCCAAAGATGAAGACATTTGAGATTCTTACCAACTTCTGCATTCTGAAATTGATCGAACATGTAACCAGAATGTAACCAGATCATTACTGGTGATTGAAATGTGAAAGTTGAACACAAAGAAGGTCAGTAATTGGAAAATACCACCTTGGGATAGAAATAAAACAGGAGATGGCACGATAGAATTTTGCAAGACCAGCAATTTGTTCACTGCAACTTTCTTTTTGGCCACAACAGCATAAAAAGCAACTACTCACGTGGAACTTCACCAGGTGGAATCCAATCCACCTACATCTGTGGAAAAAGAGGATGGAGAAGCTCAATATCATCGGTTAAAACAAGACCAGGGGACAACTGCAAACAGACCACCAATTGCTCATATGCAAGTTCAAGCTGAAACCAAAGAAAACGATAACAAGCCCAATAGAGCCAAAGCATGACCTTGAGTACGACCCACCTGAACGTAGAGGCCATCCCAACCACTTTGATTAATTAAATGCTAGTGACTGGACACCAGACGAGTTGTATGATGACTTCAAGGACATCCGATGTGAAGAAAGCAAAAAGGTCATTCGAGAGATAAGCAAGGGGGAAGAGGACCAAAGGGAATATCAGAAGAGACCAAGAAACGTGCTCTTGAACGTACAGTAAGTAGCTAAAGGGAACAGCAGATGAGGTAAAGTAAAAGAACGTGACAGAGAAGACGAAAGAAATGAAATAACAAAGACCTGGAGGAAGAAAACCAAACGGAGAGGAAGATGCTCTCACTTCTCATGCTGAATGATCCGAAGGAAAAAGCAAATCCTCACGTTGCATTATTGAAGGATTTTATTGGCAAAACACTAAACACGTGGGAGATATCAAAGGAAGATGGAAGGATTGCACAGGGTCACTGTACCAAAAAGAATCGGTTAATGTTCAACTGTTTCAAGGTCAAGGACTGGGGGTATTGAAATAAGCCCAAGCTGAACGGAAGGCGCTGGGAATTAATAGAAGGCCACTTGAGATGTTTCAACAAATGGATCAAGACGCTGGGAGAGCTTATCCAGCTACACCAAGAAATTTGGAAAGCAGCCACCTGGCCAACCAACTGGAAAAGATTCCTATTTGTGCCCATTCCGAAGAAAGGTGACGCAACGGAACACAGAAGTTATCAAACAATACCATTCATATCTCATAAGCAAACTCTGCTGGAGATCATTTTTAGATGGTTGAAGTAGTGCATTGGCAGGGAACCTCCAGTAGGACTCCCAGATTGAGAAGAGACTGCAGAACAAGTGATATCACTGGACATGTTAGACGGAGATTAGCTGAAAGTAGAGAATGCCAGAAGTACCTCACCTGTGCTTTGTTGAGTAAGCAAAGGC